CCCCCCAGCCAGCTACGCTGGCTGGGGGGTTCTGGGAGTTGAAGTCCACAGGACTTAAAGTCACCAAGGTTGAGAAACCCTGCTCTAAGGGCAAACTCTTGAGGAGAAAATCAGGCAAGCTTATAAGGAAATCATTAAAATGCTCCTAAATATTTGAGATATAAATGAATAATTGCTTAATGTGAAACATATATGGTATAAACGGAATCCAGAACATAATATATTCCATAAGCCTGTACATTCCCTTGCATATAATTCACAGATAATAGTTTTTTTAAAAAAAGAATGTCATGTTTTATAAAGTGTTAAAAGTTGTGAGGTTTTTTTTGATACAGATACATCTAATTCATTTCTGGCTACTTTTATATTTCTTCAGCAATACAACATTCACTTCTTGTTTAACATTTTATGAATCTTGATGCCAGATCTAAATGTCTGTAACATGCCCCAATGATTGGCTTGTTCTGTAAAGTGTGGTTTTAAAGTAATTATTAGAATATTTTGGTTTGGGAACCACAGTGAGTTCAAGTTGCTCTTAATGAACATCAGCTTTGCTTCCAGAGATTTAAGAGCTGCCCTTCCAGCCTACCAGGCACTTTTTGGTATCATTGCCCACAAACTGGAAAGCAGTTTGGCAAAATCTGATCTTTATCCCACCTCTTTCACTAAAAGCCTTGAGATATTCCTAATATTCTTGTCCCGTGTTGTTCTGAGCCAGCCTTAGCAGAAAGAAGAAACAGACTCCGTGTCCCGGAAAACCCCTCGTTCTTTATGTCCTGTGAATTAATGGCATTCACACACCAAAAACCCCAGGCAATAATCCTTCAAAGAGTTAACTGCAGTAACAGACCTTATCAGTTCCTTGAGACAATCGCCAGGCTGGGAGCGTCCAGCCACACAGCTGTAAATGAAGCTCTGGCAAGCAGCCTCTGAGGCACAAATCACCATGAGCCAAATCTTCTGAAATCTGAAGGGTTGTTTCCTACGACCACCACTGCCCTTTCCCTCTGTTCATTCCCCAGCCAGGGAGGGGCCATTCAGCATCCACATGCGCCTTGCTTCCCAAGTCAACTCCTTGTCCTCAGTTGTTCTCCTCTCATAACAGCTCTGCACATACGTGCATCTGGAACAGGCCCCAGCTGTTCTTCCTCCCCACTTATCTCGGCTTTCTCTGGTGGCTGGGAAGTGTCCGATGGCCCTGGCTCTATCTCTGCTTCCGACACACAGCACCCATCCGAGCCTTCCTCAGAGTCCAGAACTGGCCCAGGTTCCTCCCCAACCCCCTCCTCATCCGAGTCTGCCGCCAGCTCCACTGGCAGCTGGCGGGCCACAGCACACCAGGTGAAAGGGAAACTCTTTTTAATCAAGGGCAACAGCACCTTTAAAAACCAGATTCTTACCTGACAGAGGTCATCTCCGATGCATCCTGCACCTACGTTGACCAGGGTGCTCTTGCTGCTGGCAGAATTCAGGGAGGCAGAGACGGGGTAAAATTCAAGTGGGTGGTTGCCGAGTCTTAAATCTTGAACGCAGCCTTTGAAAAAGCCGCCGTTTAGAATGGTTTCTCGCTTGTCTGGTAATCCGCCGATGTAGAGAATGTCTCTTCTGTGTATTTTCATTAAGGGTGTAGAAACAGAGCCCAACTTTTTTGATGATTGAAACAAGTCCATCGTGTTTGGCCCCATTTTTAAAGAAATGAAATAGAATTTTCCGTCATTCATCATCTGCACACTTAAGAATTTGTTGGAGTGCAGGCCTGACATTGCCAGTTTCCCATCTTCCAGCCAGACCTTGAGAAAGAGGGACGTGTTTCTTTCTAGGCCCAATAAGAAGCCGAAAGATTTGCGTGCTCGCACAAACATTGATATTGTGGTATTTTCATGACTTTCTTCTAGGGAAAAAGCAGCATATCCAGTGGTTTCCTCATGACCAAATCTTCCTGGAATGTATTCTTGCTTTCACATCAGAAAAAGTGAGAAAGTAATGACCTCTTTAATATAAAAATGCTATTTGAGTATTAACATATCATAGATCAGCAATGCCCAGCACTGAATTTAAACTAAACACTTGACACTGATTATACTTTTAATGGTAAAATAAAGATGAGCTTCTCTACCTGATTTTAGAGTTGTGATCTGCTGAACTGGTTTGGGTCTAGAGGCGCTAAACTTGATTTAAAATACAAGGTCGCTTGAGTCAACCTGTGTTACATAAACCGTGTGGAGCCAACTTTTCAAAACAAGGATGGAATTGGGAGGAGAAGAGGACTGGATGGAATGACTGGAGTCTGGCTGAATCTGGGGCATACTCTTTTTTTCAATACTCCAAAGCTATGTTTCTAATGAATTCATGTTTCCAATAATGTATCAATAAAATCAATCTGATTAGTTAGCAAGTTTCTCTGAACAGCAAATCAGCAAGAACTGTTCTACTAATATATGTTATATGCTATGATGCATGGAAATAAGGCAAGGGAAAATCAGACTGGGGTTGAGAGAGACAAAATGGGTTACATCAAATGGCTCAGTGACAATTAGAATACTGAACAGCCGCTGAGAACTTTTCACTGATAGGTGATGCTAAATTTTCTTCCTGGTTTAGAACTCCTGGTACTTATCAAATATATATTTCCACCCAGCTTGAAATGTTCATTAGATTGGCAACTGCTTTGCTATTGGCTCTTCTCAGATTTCCTAGTTTTAATGTGATAGGTAAAATCTGGTCAATGACAAAAAATGTCAATGACATGTACTGGCAAGTACATCAAATTACTTCAAAACGAATTTTACTTTAGAAATCACATCTTTATCTTTAAACCATCAAGATACTTTGGAACAATTACAATACCAATATAATGTAGAGCATTTCATGCATTGTATATAGTGTTTAAAGAAAAAAGATTAAAAGATATCATATAATAAGCCTTAATGCCTATGCAACCCAGGGAATGGTGAAAGAAATATTAATACACTGTGCTTTCTATAAAGAATAGAATAGAACAGAATAGAATAGAATTACAGAGTTGGAAGATAGCTATGCCTTTGCTGGATTTCCTAATGAAATGTATAGGAAAGCTGGATATATTTTGTGTAAACTATCTTTTATAAAATGGGAATTGCTAGGTTTCAACAAATACTGCAGCAAGTAAGGCTCAACAAGATCTTTTTTTATCAGATGAGGAATAGGTAAGGAATAGATAAGCACAAGAAAAGGCTAACAAATTACTGTGTTTAATATTGAAAAAAATTGAGTGTTTATGTGCCTGCTTATGTTTTTACAGTCCTAAATGAGGGCTGAAATCAGCCAATCAGGTTGGAGAGAAGGAAGTGGACCACCCTCAGTTGTTGGCCCACATAAACATCCATCACTTTGGCATCGTCCAACGCAGAAAAAATAGCCTTGGTCTTCAGTTAAAATAGTGTTTGGACCACTAATGAGTGTAGTACCTCATTTCATTACAGTTCAATCACCTCGTTCCCAGTTAGATGTCTCAGTGCCAGCATTCGCCTTGGACTTTCTCAGTGGCTTTTATTGAAACCCAAAGAGGAAAAAGGCAAAATGGGGATTGACCCAGGTGGATGTTCTCCAGCTGAATGTCCCCAAGATCAGCCTCTAAGATGAGAAGCTGGAACTTGAAATGAAATAAACAGATAATTCCACTCTATTGACCAATGCAACAGCTTCATGTTATTTATCCATTACAGGAGCTACTACTCTCCTTCCCTGTATCCACATTTGTTTGAAGAAAGCTTTGATGAATAAATAGAGTTACCCTAATAGGTATCAATGGTGGGGATTTGGTTCAAGTCACAAAGCCCCGAGATCCAAAGGAAATGCAACTATTTACCAACCAGGTACCTCGAATCCCACTAGAACGGATTTGCTAAGGAAAAGTAGGTTGACAGTTTCTCAATGCAGGACAGTCTTGGCCTAGAAGGACTTTTTATTTATATCTATGATTTTGTGACAGAAATAGACATTACGGATGAGTGCCAAATTCTCTTAATGTCACTCATGGCTGAATCATAGGTTCTGTCCTTCTATTCTGGGTCAGAATGAGCTTGTGGTCCCACACACTTCTTCGATTTCAACAACACAACTAGAAATGGATCACTTTGAAAGACCCACAAATGTCTAGTTGGACCAACAATTGAGGCTACTTTACTTCCTTCTTTCCTTACCTTTTCCCTGTGTATAACTGGGAGTTGCCATAATTCATATACAATTTGATATGACATAGGCCTGGACCCTAGGGACACTTGTCCCATCCCATTGTAGTAATATATCATTCAGAGCAAATTATCCAAACCTTTTTAAAAACACGTGGTTTAGAGAAATGGCGAAGTGTAGTGAGAATTGGGATTCCACAAAAGGAAGAAACTAATACCTGAATGAGCATAAGAATTGTTAGTGCTACCCAATTTTGTTGCCCAACTGAAAGAAACACACATTCACTGTATTCTCATGTGTGTCATTGCTCACAGCTACAAAATATTGAAGGCTAATTAGAACTAAGTTCTGCAACACACTCATCTTTCACAGAACAAGGAGTGTTAAGAGCATTAAACTATTTAAAATCAAAATCAATCCATAAAGGCAATGCCTCACAAACATCCTTCCCAGATTTTTCTTTCATACGCGGCACCAAAAAAAAAAAAAAAAAAGGCAGTGGGGCTGAGATACCCGCAGGCCATTTTTTATTTATTTATCTTTGCCTGCAGTGTTTATTCTAATGAAGGAGCCTAAGACCCAGGAAAAAGAGGAGAGCGGACACCGTGAAAATCCTTTTTGCAACTCTCAAAGGCTACCCAGCTATTTCAGTTTATTTCAGGAGGAGCAAGTGAATCCTGGAGCTTGGAGAGAAAAGTTCGCTTAAAAACCAAATATAAAAATGTTTAAACTCTGTTAACGAAAGTACCTTCCATTTCTTTCTCTAGGTGTTTGTTAAACCCATATGCATAAACTTTCCTCAGATTGAAATGGGTATTTCTAACTATCAAAGGTCCGAGTCCTTTCCCTCCCACCCAAGCAATGTCTTTCTTCCTCCATTAAGGGAGGAGTCATTTCTCTTGGTGAAGGGCGAAAGCTTACAATGCAGCAAAGTGAGCAAGTGACGGGAAGAGCCTCCGCCTTACAAAGAGAGGAAGAAAGGGGAACCTTAAAAAGGTAGCCAGACACACACGTGCAGTTTTCAACTGCTTCAAAAGAAATGTTGAATATGATCTGTGGTTTAGCATAAACCTTGATCAAAATTAACCTCTTGAGCCGTTGCGTCTAGAGGCTGATCCAAATAAATCGGTGGTTGTGTCTCGCTTTGTTACGGTTCAGGGTGTAGTGAAAAGGCTGCTCATCACTTGTTAACCGCTTGCCAACTTTTCTTGATTAAATCTGAGTCCAAATAATATTCTCTCCCACCAGGTTAATAATACACTGGGTTGCACCAGAATCATTCTGATTTCAATTATCTCCCTCTCTTGGTGCCACTTAAAACTGGCCTTCCGACAGAAAGATAATCACAGTAATGGAATACATGTCCCCCCCCCCAGGAATTCTGTCTGTCTGCTTAGGATTAGCCCTTGGCTCCTAATATAAATGTTTGAAATCCAGTAGTTTAGAAGAGATGGGAATCTGTGACCAAATCTCCCTTTCAAGCATTTTGTCCTATTTATGAGAAGTGAACTGGCAGATCCAACTGCAGGGCCTTATTATTGGAAGTTGTATTTATTTTATTTACTTGAAACATTTAGGTAGCCACCCGTCTTCCAGCCAACTCTGGGCGGCTCCCTATTAGAAATTCAAGTTTACGCGAGGTCTCCCCATGCTGCTATCCAGTATTTTCACTCTGTCCAAGGAAAAAACTAAATTATGTTTATGGACTTTTAGAGTCCCATGCAGTTTGAGCCTTAAAGAAAGTGAAAACCAAAGTACTTTAATATTGTAAACAAATTTTGACTTCTCTTTCCATCACTGTGGCTGAGTATCTGACAAATGTTTCACACAAAGTATTCAAAAAAAATTAAATTTAGATTTTAAATTCTTTAATTTTACATTGTTATTTTTCATTTTGACCTATTTTATCATTGTGATCTGGTCTCTGTTGTGAAATTATAAAATATGAGGTAAAATTGTGGGAAAAGGTTTCAGAAAGTTGGGGATTTTAAACATACTTTCAAGAAAAATGTTTACAATATTTTTTCTTATTTTTCTAGAAATCAAGATTCTTTTTGAACCAAATTTCAAGATGATTAGGAAAGTAATCCCTCTAATATTGATTTGAGCGAATAAAAGAAGGAAATTGTTTTCTCATTTCCTTCCTCTGTGTGTGTGTGTGTGTGTGTATGTATATTCTTAAAATGTTGGATGCTGCGAATTGAGAAGAATATTGTGGCCAGAATGAAAAGACATCTCAAATAGTTTCTAATCATTCACAACAGCTCTATTGGAAGCAAAAACCCCTCTTGGAAGACGGGTGGTTTTAATTTTGTTTCATAAAGAAGCAAACATATTTACCAGATGTAGTTCTCTTTTTCAAAGTTGCTTTTCAAACCTTTGGATAAATTACTGCCAAACTTCAAAGCTGTCGACTATAATTATGGCTCTTGCAATGTCATTTTCCAATAGGAACAACTGGGGGGGGGGATGTAGGTGTGGACCATGAAGAACAGCACAGAAAATGTGGTACTTTTAAAATATAGGAATGCATTTTGAAGAGTACATTTTCTAAATAAAAGTAACTAGCAAACTCTTTTACCAGACAAAAGCTCAAATGAATCCCTATATTTCTATAAATTACTAAATTCAGCACAATTGTGCCCTGTCTACTAGCAGTGGGGTATCTGAATTGAAACAAAGATCTATAATGCTATCTGTCATGCACATTCTAGCTTCCTACTTGTCCTGCCAGTGGTAGGTGGGACAACTCCCCTTTTTGTGGGAATTTTTTAGCTCCGTTTTTTATCATTAATACATTTGAAAGGAAATTCTGCAGGCAGCTCAAACCAAGTCAGACATATTTTGAGAAGAATGCTCAATACAGTAGGACGTATGTCTGCTTAATATGAATTGCTATGCACTTCAGTGGGATTTACTCTCAGGTAGAGAGGTCTAGATGTGCATGTTATAATTTTCTTATTAAGTCTTGTCTGTGTGGCTGCTTTTATTTAATTTAGCTTCCTTGTCTTTGAGTCTGAGAACCACAGAAATTTGGTTGGGAATTAGCTTGTTATCAGTTACTTCTGCTATCATTTGAAATACCAATATATAAAATGCCTATAAGAAATTAAGACTAAGGTACCTCTAGCAGAGGGATTTTATTTATTGGGGATATACAGCAGTTTGGAGTTAAAAGCAAAAAAGTACATATAGCACTTGTCTCCAACCAGAGATGGTCCCGCCTGCCTTGGTGCATTTCCTGCTCTGCTCAGGAAGCCATCTTTGATCCAGCAGCATTGGATAATTTTTGACCTACATCCAACCTTCTCTTTCTGGAGTTAAATTGCAACTCCGCATGGTTCTGGAAGGTTTTCTGGATCCTTTCCAGTTCATCTTTAGATCTGGGTAAAGTATCAGCATGGCACCAATTACGCTTGTGGGTGGCATCTGGTCATCCTGTGTGCCAATTAACTTACCTGGACCAAATGACCCTTTCCATGGTCGCTCATGAATCAGACAACTCTATACAAAACTATTCTTGAAGACCACTCAGAAGCTAAAGCTGATTCAAAATGCAGAAGTGAGACACAGTTACGGATTTTTCTGGAGTCATTCATATAACACCATTATTGCTGCAATTTACACTGAATGCTAGTTTGCTTCAAGATGTTGATTGTCACTTTAGGATCTGGATGCTTATGGGGCTTCTTTGATTCTTTCTTCCTGTCTGATAAAACCTGTCAAGATGGGCTTCATCCTAAGCTTCTTGGTATATCGGTTTCATCGGGCAAAGCTACATAGAGTGGTCTTTTTTGTGGCTACACGTGTCCTCAGTAACATTATTCTCCTTGAAATCTATAGTTTCAACTCTTCTGTGTTTTTGTAGACTGTGGGAAAGCTAACTTTTCCAAATGGGCAAGGGGTTTTTTGGGAGGTGCTTTTTGAGAGATGTCTGTATAATTTTGTCATGCAGTTTTTGTTCCCCAACATGAGCTTTGATAAATTTTACCATTTTGGCTATTGTTGGTTTTTCTTTTGACTTCTTGATTTACTTTAGTTGTTAATTAAAGTAAATTAATTGCTATCTAGGGTTGCAACTGGTGATGGAGGAGGCCTGCAGAACCAATAAATAAATAATCAAGTAATTTAACCAAGGGCGTCTTTTTTCAAGATTGTACAGTACTTATTTAGGGTAGTTGCTGAAGAAGACATAGTTGCTTTAATGAGTTGCAGACAGCTTCTGATTCATCCAGAATATTTAAAAATGTGATTCTGGAGTGTCCCTTTGATGGGACTAGCCTGCCCCATTTGTTCCAGCTTCTGTCAAAAAATTTAGGCTGGCGTGGTCCAAGAGAAGACATTTTTCTGGCTTGGGCCCCTCTTTCTGGACAATTTTGCCCTGGAGGTGAGGTCTGCGCCCACACTCATGGTCCTCTGGAAGAGCCTGAAAATTTGGCTCTGCCACTTGGCCTGAAACCCTGGCAGGGGATGGCTGATAGGGTAGAGAAGATCTACATCCCTAGGCTGCCCATTGTCTTCGTGTTTAGGTTTTCTGTTTAACTCTCATAATTTTAAATGGTGTGTGTGTGTGTGTGTGTGTGTGTGTGTGTGTGTGAGAGAGAGAGAGAGAGAGAGAGAGAGAGAGAGAGAGAGAG